TGCAATATAATGTTTCTGCATTTGATCACTGTGATGTGATTCTCTTAAATTACACACTGACTGATGGCTGTTAATATTTTGTCCAAACTATATATGGCTAATGGTACTAGAACCCCACAGGGTGACTGGGAGTGTCCCCAGTACTAGAGGCCATATATAGCGCGATACTTGTCCCACACCCATATGATTGAGTTATGGCACTGAGTACGTGTGCGTCTTTCACTTCAGGAATATGGGTAAATTTTGACATGAGAGTCAGCCATTAGCCATTTCCAAGCAAAACACTGATATGGCTCAGTGTACTGACTGCTCTTGATGGATATATGGCTGACCATTCCACCGTAGAAACCCGAACAAATGCCCCCTCATTCTCGAAAAAATAAAACGAAAAGGAAGATGTTTTTCGCAAATCAATGTGTAGTCACTAATTAATGCTCGATTAACTGTGCTGTACAAGCCCTTAGGACAAATTCCCGTGGCAATTGATTTTATAATGTTAATTAAAATGTCTATTTTGATGTGGGGTTTTTTTTTATGTTTTAACACAATTATAAACTTAACCCATTAAATTGTAGTGCCCTACTCTATTATTTACTCAAATGGTTTTACTCTTAAAGTTGAAACCACTGGCGCCAATTGAGAATTGCCTGGAAATAATGTTTTTGAGACATTGAATGTCAAACTCTCTCTAAATTGCAACCTTCCCCCAGAAGGGTTCAAATATAGTCACTGTCTATAAATGTACCCAAATAATTTCTGGATGTGGTACTGAACTTTTGAACAAATAAAGCATTATGCATGATAATCATCACTATATACTAAGAATAGACTCACTTTAGGAGCAGAAAGTATAGTAGAGTAGGTCTTAATTGGTGTTGATGTACATTCTATATTAGGATATTATACAACTGCCCAGAGATAACCCATGACCTTTGGCACAGCATCTGCTGACTCCATCAAGGTCAGGAGTTTTGGTGTGCCGGCAACATACTGCCCTCACTGGTACTGTGTGTGTTTTAGACCCTTTAACCTGCTTCAATATGTTTTTAACCCTTTGAATGCCAGCGTTCTCTCGTTGATGAGTTCTAAGCCTCCTCCGCAGGCCTCTCTATGGGTTTTAGCTTGCGAATGGGTTTTGAAAACAAATTTCCACCCTATTCCTCGGGAGATGTCGCATGGGGCTAAAAATTGTCTGGCATTAGACAGAGTAAAATAATCTGCTAAAAACAATAATGTAGGGTGCATTGATTTGAGGTGCACTGGGTTAAAATAGAGTCACTTTAAGAGTGGCACAAGATGTAGTTAAATTACATTTTTGTTGCTAGGCGACTTGAGAATGATGATAAAGCGATGTTGGAATTATCGCCTGGAAAGAATAACAACAACAATGACACAAAGCTTCCCTCAGAGTCTGCCGAAAGTACAGACTCTGATATATCATCCGTTGATGGCCTCGCTGATGGCCTTGATACGGCCGATGACTTTGACTATGCCTCGTTCCAAGTGTGGGGTGAGATTATCAGAGATTGGGAGGAAAATATGAAACGAAGGCCAAAGTTTATACGGGACTTGACACACAAGGGAATTCCTGAGAAAATGAGGTGCATTATGTGGCAATATTTTACTGGGGCATGGGAGTCATCACTTGTTGGCAAATATGCTGATCTTATCCAGGTGGGTGATACCAGTAGTACACAGACTGTCATTTGTGATAACACAATGAGAGGCTTTCCTTCCCCTGTGTCAAGATATCACAAAGACTGTCAATGCACCTTTACGGCAATGACATCACAAAGAGCCTTGTTCTCCTTAGGCCTCTGATTTACACTATTACCCTAATGGCAAATTTACCGACCATAGCAGCGTAGTGATTTGTATCTCGAGTGCCGAACGTAAGTGGTCCGTAGTTGGGATGCTACGGCAAACCAATAATGTAAACACAATATGGTCTCAATACTAAGATAGGAGGCGATTGGTTCATCATTAATACCGTGTTTACACTAATAACGCTATGGCTAACATTCTGTTGAAAATTTACTACGAGTGGCGAAGCCAGCCCGACAATTTGGTCATGCTATGCAAATATTTCTGTGTTCATACACCGTGAAAACAATCAATTTGTAAAGAAATGAATAATGATAATGATTTAAAGTTTGCATAGCATGACCAAATTGTTGGGCTGGCTTCGCCACTGTTTACTACGTTTCTGATTCATGAATGTGAGGCTCCCAGGCTAAGAAAGTATTAATGGCATACAGTAATTATAGAACAGGTATCTCACAGTTATGGTTATAATACAAAAGCAGGTTTAGCACTCTGTATTTTGTTCTGACTTGTAAGGTTTGGCAGGTTTGCTTTCATGTTCAATTATTGTCACTTATGTTGTAATGTTTAACCTACAGTAAAAGCCACAATGTTCCCTTATGTACCCTCTACCCACGTTCCTTTTGTTATGCCCCTTAAACACCCCACCCCCTAGCCTCCCTTCTAATAACCCCCTCTCCGATGGAGTCCCTCCCAAACATACATGAAATACAAAGCCATGGGGGATTAATAGAGGTTCACAATAATGTTTTTATTTCAGCAACAATCTGCATGTGAAAGAGTGATAAAACGTGATATAGCCAGAACATTTCCAGAACATCCATATTTTCAACAAGAGGATGGCCAGGGACAGCAAGGATTGTATAATGTTATCAAGGTAATTAGTCAGAACAATTCACCACTATATAATAATACACTATAATATTCATAATTGTGGTTGCAAGGGGATGAAGTTGTAAAAAGTTATAAAATAATATAAAGTGCATTATAAAATCTTGAATATTTAACAACTTTGACAAAAATTCCTCTCAAGAAACCCCCCCCCCCCCCATAACAATTTGCTACGACGGCACTGATAACCATTCATTAATGGACACTCAATGAAAACCTGTATTTGACAGACACTTACTGAAGTTCCCAAACTGGCGAGACTCATTAGAGTACAAGATCGTACTGCTCTCGGTTGGACATCTCTTGAAGAACGTAGAGCATTAATGAAGGCCAAACTCATGTACAAAACAGTAAATCAATTAGCTCCACAAAGACTGTGTAACATTTTCCAACACTGTTAATAGTTATAATCTAAGAGGTTCTTCAACTGGGCTTTTTATTCCAAGGCCCAGGCCAGAATTTTTTAAAAAAAGTTTCAGTTACAGGGGGCCTAATTATGGAATAGAATACCAGAAAATATTCGAAATTTGATATCTTACAACTCGTTTTGTAAAAACCTTTTCTCCTCGCCCTCGGCCTCCCAATTATTAAATTAAGTATAGTTTAGTTAAGTGAATATTTAATAGCATTTATATAATAATAGTTTGTATGTATTAATAGTAAATTAGTCTTAAAATCATAACAATTATAGCCAGCACACCTCTCATGGAAATCAGCATAATGTTGAATGAGATTAGTGTGCCTAAATAAAGTTGATCTATCTATCTAGATACATGTTATGCCCAAGTCTCGCTCGAATTGGTTTTGATAGGGTACCCTAGAAAACTGTCATGCAAACTCTCGCATGTCAACTCTCACCAATTCTCATGTAACTCTTGTTCTAGTTTGAACGGAACATGAGAGTTGAGAAAACTCTCATGCAAATTCTCACTTGTCAACTTTCATCAACTCTCATGTAACTCTTGTTCTAGATTGAACGGAACATGAGAGTTGAGAAAACTCTCATGCAAGCTCTCGCTTCTCAACTCTCTTCAACTCTCATGTAACTCTTGTTCTAGTACTTTGAACGGGACATGAGAGTTGAGAAAACTCTCATGCAAGCTCTCGCTTCTCAACTCTCTTCAACTCTCATGTAACTCTTGTTCTAGTACTTTGAACGGGACATGAGAGTTGAGAAACTCTCATGCAAACTCTCGCTTCCCAACTCTCTTCAACTCTCATGTAACCCTTGTTCTAGATTGAACGGAACATGAGAGTTGAGAAAACTCTCATGCAAGCTCTCGCTTCTCAACTCTCTTCAACTCTCATGTAACTCTTGTTCTAGTACTTTGAACGGGACATGAGAGTTGAGAAACTCTCTTGCGAACTCTCGCTTCTCAACTCTCTTCAACTCTCATGTAACTCTTGTTCTAGTACTTTGAACGGGACATGAGAGTTGAGAAACTCTCATGCAAACTCTCGCTTCTCAACTCTCTTCAACTCTCATGTAACTCTTGTTCTAGTACTTTGAACGGGACATGAGAGTTGAGAAACTCTGATGCAAACTCTCACTTCACTCAACTCTCATCAATTGCAACTCTCATGCAACTCGGCTTGTTCTCGTTTGATCGGGACAGCATGAGAGTTAATTGTGAAAACTCTCATGCAAACTCTCGGAGTCTCGCTTCTCAACTGTCATTAACTCTCATGTAACTCTTGTTCTAGTTTGAACAGGACATATGCGAGTTGAGAAAACTCTCATGCAAATTTTCGCTTGCCAACTCTCATCAACTCCCATGCAACTTTTGTTCTCGTTTGAACGGGACATGAGAGTTGATAAAACTCTCATGCAAACTCTCACCGGCTTCTCAACCTGACTCGTCCCCAGTCGTCTCAAAAGGTCTTGCATGGAAATAGAGCTCGAGAAATTGCTTGAAAATTTAAAACAAAAAATTAAAACAAATGTAAAAGTCAAAGCAATGCCAAGAGCGAGTGATATTTGAGATATTGCGAGACATATTGCGAGACACACGCAAATGCGAGCGCGTGCGCGCGCCTTCCAAAGACGACTGGGGACGAGTCAGCTTCTCAACTGTCATTAACTCTCATGTAACTCTTGAGTCTTGTTCTAGTTTGAACGGGACATGAAAGTTGAGAAAACTCTCGTGCAAATTTTCACTTCTCAACTCTCATCAATTCTCGTTAATCAGGGCTTTAGGTTCTACAGTTGCGATATATGGACATGGATTGTACAGTACTCCGACATTTTTGTGCAGTCTTTAATTTACGCAATTTATTTCTTGCCTACTTCAACACTGTAGATTCCCTCAGTGTTAATTTTGAATACCTAAACATTTAAGTATAGACATACACATTTCTCCTCTCTATACAAGAAAGGAGTTAAACAACAGTGGAAAAGATTAAGAGGATGATAAGACATGCTTTCATAGTGTTTAGTGATTTGTGCCAGATTGTGCGAATTCATTTATTTGGCGGATTTAAGTTAAGTTTTGCGCGTAAAATTATGGTTTTCGCAAGCACCCTGGTCTGTGCGATTATTCTAAAACTGCGCAACTTATAAACAAGACAATATTAACCGTACCGTGTATAAGTCCAAGCCTAGTTAAATCGGTCGGTCACGGTCATTGTCTGACCCATGCATTCGTGAAATTGTCCGATGTACAGAGGAAACCACTGGACATTCTGTTCGACCCTACACGGCTAAAAACGCACAGGTTGTTCCAAGTTGATATCGACAGGCGTGAACAATGTTGTGCGGCCAACTATGAATAAGTTGTCAACCATGTTGTTCCAAGTTGTTACAGTTGAACAATGCTGTAACAACATGTTGACAATACTGCCCATAGTGGGCATGTTGTAAAACATGGACTGGACCTTGGACTGGACTGGACTTGTAAACTATGGACTGGACTTGTAAAACATGGACTTGTAAAACATGGACTTGTAAAACATGGACTTGTAAAACATGGACTTGTAAAACATGGACTTGTAAAACATGGACTTGTAAAACATGGACTTGTAAAACATGGACTTGTAAAACATGGACTTGTAAAACACGGACTTGTAAAATACTGACTTGAAAAACACGACTTGATCTTCGAGCGAATTTATTATCGATGACATGTTTCTCTATATGTACACCTATATAGAGAAACAGGTAAAAATACACAAATTATTCTGCTGTGCTCGCTTGCCCCTGCCCCCACCTTATTTTGCCCCCGGAATCGGACAGACAATAACGAAATAGATTGGACCGAGTCAACATAATTTAACTTATATTTGCATGGCATGCATTTTCTGCATGTCATAGCTAGAATGTTGTAATTAAAGGGAAATGGAACTGATTCAGTTTCCATTGAAGGAATGGAACTTAATTATTATATTTTATTTTATTCCTAATGAAGGCATTCTTTAGTGTAATTTTTATTTTTAAAAGTAAGTTTGCAATGGAAAAGCCTACACTTAAAGTTACTGATCACTGAAGTTAAAAAGTTTCCAAGGAAAGTGGCAAGTGTTTTCCAATTAATTTAATAAGCCGATTTTTCTCATATTTTCGCGAATTTTGAAAGCGCCTTGCAACATCAAATTCTTGTATCTCCGTCAATATCGTACCGATAATTTAGTGTTATATATATCACAATCTAAGTTAGCCCTTCCTGCATGCAATGGAGTTTATTTCAGCTCAATAGCTTTTATAGTTTTTGAGTTATATTAATTAAAACCAGGGACTATCAGAGAAATTCGGGGGCCCGGGGCAAATTTTTGTTTCGGGGGTCCTATTTTTCCCGAAAATGTTGACCAGTGGGGGGGGAGGGAGGGGAGGTAATTTTTTTATCAGGAGTTTCAAAAAAACGGTCAAACAATTTTTCTCGTCGAATATCAGTTAAACTAAGGTTCAAAAAAATTTGGGAGGGACACCCGGCCGGTACCATAGAGTTTTGGGAAATGAGGGCTTGTCTCAGACTTAGTGATACGCATTATTAAATCTACGATATATGTAATGTATATGCACGGAGGGATATTTATCGTAAGCCGTTAAAGAAATGACTGCAGTTCTACCAAATCCAAAATTTAAAAAAATAACGTATAATGATCAAATTTTGAATAATTGCAATAATAGTTCAATCGCAAAAATTCGATCTCTTGGCCTTGACAATCATTGACTGAAATTCATCATCGAGTTCCCAGATCATAACATATGTATATAGATCTTGACTCGATCAGTTGATTGACTAGTGTGTTGGCAAATTCCGTTTGCGGACATTACTACAGCTAAGCTTTCCTTTCATGCACACGGATACGATTGAATATTTAATAATGGATTACTAGTAATATTTGCTAGGCGCTAAGGACAATGAACGGTTTTGTTATGAGTTTCGTTTTGTTTTGTTTAGTTAGTGAACTATGTCTATCGAAATTCATATTCAGTTGCAACCGAATTTAGCTTTATTAGAACATTCTATGATAGAAAATGCATGCCATGCAAATAGTGGACGTTTTTGTCAAAATGTTAGTTAAAAAACTATTTAATTAACATCGATATGCAAAAAAGGATTAAATATTTTCGAAGTTATATAAATTATGTTGACACGGTCCAATCTATTTCGTTATTGTCTGTCCAATTCCAGGGGCAAAATAAGGTGAGGGCAAGCGAGCACACTCGCAGAATAATTCGTGTATTTTTACCTGTTTCTCTCTATAGGTGTAGGCCTACATATAGAGAAACATATCATCGATAATAAATTCGCTCGAAGGTCAAGTCATGTTAAACAAGTCCATGTTTTACAAGTCCATGTTTTACAAGTCCATGTTTTACAAGTCCATGTTTTACAAGTCCATGTTTTACAAGTCCATGTTTTACAAGTCCATGTTTTACAAGTCCATGTTTTACAAATCCATGTTTTACAAGTCCATGTTTTACAAGTCCATGTTTTACAAGTCCATGTTTTACAAGTCCATGTTTTACAAGTCCATGTTTTACAAGTC